GATGATTCTGTAAGATTATAACACCATATTTTTACCGTACATTTTCTATGTTCAGATAGACAAATACTCACCATTGTGTTATAATTGCCTACATTATTCACTACAATAACATGCTATACAGGTTTGTAGCCTAGAAGCAATAGACTTTATCACACAGCCTAGGTGCGTAGCATGCTATACCATTTAGGTTTGTGTAAATATACTCTATGACGTTCCCATAATGACAAAATCACCTAACACCACATTTCTCAGAATGTATCCCTATCATTAAGCAAGACATGGCTATTCAATCTATTCTCTCCATCTATTTTTTTTATTTAGTAAAAATTTTCACTTTTTATATTCAGATTTTTAAACTGAATAGGAAATTATTTTTGTGTATTGAAAGGTAAGAATGTCTGCTGGGCATAGTGGCTCATGCCTGTACTCCTAGACATGGGCTTTGGAAAGCCGAGGTGGGAGGATCACTTGAGTTCGAGACCAGCCTAGGCGAGATCTCACCACTATAAAAAAATGTAATATTCAGCTGAGTGTGGCGGTGCACTCCTGTAGTCCTAGCTACTCAGGAAGGTGAGGCGGGAGGATTGCACGAGCTCAGGAATTCAAGGTTACAATGACCTGTGATCATACTAAAGTGGAAAATTGGAAAATTCCACTACCGGGCTTTGTCCCTTGCATTCCTTACCTGAGGCCCCTCCTCCCCTGCGACCTTTCCCCTCATAAATCACCTGTAGAAATTAGTGTACCAGGCTGTAAAGTAACTTAGGACTCGGCCTCACTAAAGTTAACCCTGTTGTAACCGTGCCCCTCCCCCTAAGCAGAGTGTATAAAAGACTGCAATGCTCTTTGGTGCTCAGAATTTGGAGGGAAAAATCCCCATCTGAGCCCGCTGGCGTATAAACCTGTTTTTGCCAATATTTCTGTGTGCGTGTTGGTCTATTCCCGGTCATCTCTGCCATAACAATACCACTGTACTTCAGCCTGGGTGACAGAGCAAAATCCGGTTAATTAATTAATTAATTAAAAGCAATAAAATGAGGATGATTTTTATAATTCCTTCTTATTCTCAAGCACTCTTATTCTACTCTTACTACTCTTATTATTCTCAATAATTTCCTAAGTCTCATCTTGCAATTTGGTTTACTTTTTCTACAACTTATAGTTCCCTTAAAATTTGGATTCAGTTTACCCTGTAATTTTTAAGCATAGATTTTATGAGTAAAAAATACTAGTTATTCAAATAACTCATACTGTTTGCTATTAAGTACAATCAGTTTACAGAAATCA